GTGTTGACAACCCTGCCACTAGCCATGAAATGTATCGGATATCGATTACATTCTTTCATCTTAATTCGCCATTAAATAATAATCACGCCTTTTGTAATTTGGGTTTGCAGGAGAAAACCGATGTGTAAGAATAACTTATACTAATTTTACTAATAGCATTTACTGATCTTAAACCATCATTATCTTTCTTTATATTTAAATAAAGTTTAAAAGCGATTCTCACAAAGCAGTTTGAGTTTGATTTAACACGCTATAAAAACGGAATTCTCCGAAGCAAGGACCCAGTTAACATTCTTTTAAAACATCGTGGTGGCTTTACTACACACCAGCTTTACTCAAACTTCGTATTCGAAAGTAAGCGTGCTGTGATGTCAACTAGAAGTCATACACGGCAGGGCCGCGGTGAAAGGCTAGGGAAATGCTCCTTATGTGGGGGCCCAGAAACCAACCAAATGGTACAATGGGATGAATGTGACGAGTGGACACATTACGATTGTGCAAACGTGACCGATGATGTGGTGAACCACGCATGGAGCTGTGAAAAGTGTGCAAACAAGCTGAAATCAACAACAGCGGCAGAGGGCGTGCAAATGGCGGTGCCAAAAGCAGTGACAGCAGCACAGCAGACGATTTCATCGGTAACAGCGAAAGGGGTATCTTCGTGCGAACAACTTATGGCGGGAAAGTTTCTGGCGGGCGAAAAGACAGGTACAAAGGGTAAGTCGCAGAATATGGTGGACGAAGAAGTATTAGGCAATAATGCGCAAAAACGTAAGACGAATGAACACATGTGCGATGAATTACAAAGCAAATGTGGGTCCAATAAATCAAAGCGTAACTTACGGCTGGATTTGATGCGTTTAGAAGAAAAGAAAAGGGCAGAATTGGCATACGTAGAACAAAAGTATGCAATTATGAAAGAATATCAGGGTGAATCTGATGAGGAAGGAGATCTCTGCTCAGTTCAGGAGCAACGCACTATTCAATGGGCTAATAGTCAACGTCTTAGGGTAACTGATGGGGCAAATGACAATATTGGCCAACGTGATGGTATGCATAACGAACGCGCGATTTTCGGGTATCAACCAACTGAAGCTGCATTGCATACATTAACGGCTTTGCAAATAAGTTCACGGCAGGTTGTTTCGCGGGATCTCCCACCGTTTAGTGGCAAGCCAGATGAATGGCCATTATTCATAAGTAGTTTCGAAAATTCTACGCGTTTATGCCGGTTTAGTAACGACGAAAATTTATTACGTCTTCAGCGCGCCTTAAAAGGTAAAGCTTATGAGTACGTAAGTAGCAAATTAATGATTCCCAGTCTTGTACCCGAAATAATTTCAACGCTCAAGATGGTGTTTGGTAGGCCAGAGCATATTTTCAATAACCTTCTGTCAAAGATACGTGCATCCCCGGCAGTGAATGTAAACAGGCTTGACTCTTTAATCAACTTAGCTTTGGAAGTAAAAAACCTGGTGGCAACAATTGAGGCGTCAGGTTTGACAGCACATTTAAACAACCCTCTGTTAATACAGGAGTTGATAGATAAATTGCCATCACAAATTCGGTTACAATGGGCCATGTTTTCAAGAAACGAACCTCTGTGTACGTTGAAACAGTTTAGCGATTGGCTATTTGATATGGCCGAAGCAGCCAGCAGTGTTATCTCATTGACAACAGCAAGTACGGACGCGGAGCGACGTAAAACGCAACGCGTTAGTGTACATAGAGAAGTACCAGAACATAAACGGAGCGTAGGGTGCTATTTCTGTGGTGAAGATCATTACATTTCTAAATGCAAGCGCTTTTGTAAGCTCAATGCCAGCGAAAGGTGGGAGGAGGTTAAAAAGAGAAAGTTGTGTCGCCGTTGTCTAGTAAAGCATGATTTTAAAACATGTCATAATCGTAAGGCGTGCGGTGAAAACGGATGCACGTATATGCATCACCCACTTTTGCATGCTGAGAAGAGAACGGGTGCTGAAACGTATGAAGCAACAGTAGCAGTGCACCATACACGTACTTCAAATGTGTTGTTTAGAATTGTACCCATCACAATTTATGGTAAAAATAAAAGGCTAAATATTTTCGCATTCTTGGACGATGGTTCCGGACCGACTCTAATAGAAGAAAGCATTTTAGACGATCTTGAAATCGAAGGCCCTAAGAAAGAATTGTGTCTTAGCTGGGCAGATGGGACTACCCGAAAAGAAGTAGCTTCACAAATCATCAACCTGAATGTGTCATCGAAAGACAAGTCTAACCGTAAATATACGCTTGTCGATGTACGCTCAGTTAAATCTTTGGATTTACCTTGCCAGACCTTACACCTTCAAGAGCTGCTTGACAAGTACAAACACCTAAGAGGGTGTCCTCTAGAATCTTATTACGACGTTGTTCCCAAATTAATAATTGGTGTCAACAACAAGAACTTGTCCATTCCATTGAAATATAGAGAGGGTAAAGCTAACGAGCCAGCAGCAACAAAAACCAGGCTAGGCTGGGCTATTTATGGTAATCTCGACCGCAGCCCACTTCCGTCTCACCACCAGCTGCATATATGTGAATGCAGTGATGACGCAAGCCTCCAAGGCCTAATGCTTGATGCCATAAGATTGGATCAAGATCCTCTCGAAGGCAAGGATTTGATGCCCGCTGAGCTGACAGGAAAAGTAACACGTGACGGCGAACGGTTTATAGCGAAGCTGCTGTGGAAGAGAGAGGATGTTGTCATGCCACGTAACTATGACATGGCGCTGCCAAGACTGAAATGCTTTGAAGGAAAACTCCTCAAAAGTGCAGAACAGAGATGCGAAACCATCAAACATATAAAACAAATGGAAACGAAAGGCTACATTCGTAAACTGTCCGAAGAAGAAGCCACTAATTTTGGACCACGTACTTGGTACTTGCCGATGTTTACCGTTAGGAACCCGAACAAGCCGGGAAAATTGAGAGTCGTCTGGGACGCTGCAGCGAAATACGAAGGTGTTTCACTCAATGATCAACTCGATAAAGGCCCCGATTTGATAGTATCTTTACCGGGAGTACTATACAACTTCCGCATAGGGAAAATAGGCATATGCGGCGATATAAGTGAGATGTTCCACCAAGTGGGTGTGAGTAAGTCGGACCAAAACGCGCAACGTTTCCTATGGCGAGATTGTGACCCAATACGGAAACCTGACACATACGTATTACAAGTTTTGCGTTTCGGAGCCAGCTGCTCACCTTCGCTTGCGTTATATGCCAAGAACAAAAATGCCAAGGAGTTTGAGCATAAGTTTCCCGCTGCTACGCGATGTATAATAGAAAGGCATTACGTTGACGATATGCTCGACAGTACAAATACGGTCGAAGATGCGATTAAACTTGCTAAAGATGTACGTGCAATACACGCACATGGAGGTTTCAGAATCAGAAACTGGCTGAGTAACTCTCCAGACTTATTACTGGCATTGGGTGAAGGTAGTACTAATGAGAACTTTTGCAAAGCAGGTCGCACACTTGAGCACGTTATTGAAGCGGATAAAGTACTTGGCATGTGGTGGTTAACGCAGGAAGATTGCTTTACATTTAACTTAAAGTTCACTAAAGCTAGCTCTGAAATATTACAAGGTGGGAGATTACCTACCAAGAGGGAGCTGTTAAGACTGTTGATGTCCTTTTTCGACCCACTAGGCCTGCTTTCATATTTCACTATCCACATGAAAATTCTTGTCCCAAACGTTTGGCGTAGTCGAAATCATTGGGACGATATGATGCCAGATGAGCTTGCTGATGACTGGTGGAGATGGCTAGCAGAATTAAAAAGGGTTGAACAAGTTCGCATACCAAGGTGTTACTTTTCGCGGTCAAATGGCGAAAAAAGCACTGTGCAATTGCACGTCTTCGTAAATGCCAGTGAGAACGCCTATGCGACAGTGGCATATTTTAGGATTTCAGATATGAACGGTGTAAAGACATCCTTGGTAGGTTCCCAAACGAAAGTTGCACCATTACGACCGATTACTATTCCGAGAATGGAATTACTTCCAGCGGTATTGGGAACTCGTTTAGCTGGTGCAATTGCAGCGCATCATAGCCTGAAAATCGAAGAAACATTCTTCTGGTGCGATTCAAAAACGGTCCTGCTATGGCTTCGCTCTGATCCCAGAAAGTATAAACATTTTGTGAAATTTAGAATTGCTCAGATTCAGGAATCTACAGATATCGGAAATTGGAATTATGTCCCCACAAAGCTTAATGTTGCAGACTTGGCAACGAAATGGAGTCGGTCGCCAGAATTTAGCAAAGAATTCGCATGGTTCACAGGGCTCTCATTCCTGAAGCTGCCAAAAGACGATTGGCCTAATCAAAACGTAATCAGCTCTGAAAGTCTACAAGTATGCAACGAGGAGGTTGAACTGCAGAAGGTCGCCGTAACAATTCAGAAATCAGCTGTTATAGATGCAAACCGTTTCTCTAAATGGGAGCGCCTGCTAAGGTCATTAGCACACGCGAAATTGTTCATTGAAAACCTGAAAGCAAAAGGAGATCCCGAACGAAAAGGATATTCTGCCGGACCAACTAGAGAGATGCTGCTTTGGAGCGAGCAGTACCTTTTAAGACTTGCGCGAAAGGACCAATATGCCACAGAAATACCAATTTTAGAGAAAGCGTGCACATTGCCAAAAGACAGTTCCCTAAGAAAACTTAGCCCTTTCATAGATTATCTAAAGATAGTACGCATGAGAAGTCGCCTCGAAAATGACACACACATTTCAGAAGCCATGAGAAACCCTATAATACTGCCGAGGCAACATCGCATTATTTACCTGATTGTAGATTGGTACCACAGAAAGTTCAAACACGTAAATCACGAAACAGTCATAAACGAAATTTTCCAAAAGTACCATATACCGGGTCTGCGAGCCTTATTACGAAGTATTCGCCTAAATTGCCGATTTTGTAAAATTCAAAGTGCACAGCCAATACCGCCAGAAATGAGCCCATTGCCAGCCGCGCGAACATCACCATATACGAAACCCTTTTCTCATGTTGGTATTGACTTTTTGGGCCCCTATTTGTAACTACCGGAAGACGCAGTGAGAAAAGGTATGGGGTTGTGTTCACTTGTCTCACCTGCCGAGCAGTACATATTGAAGTTGCACACAGCCTTACAATGAGTTCCTGCTTAATGGTTATAAGGAACTTCATAGCGAGAAGAGGCACCCCGAATCACATATATAGCGATAATGGCACAAACCTGTGAGCGGCTGAAAAGGAACTTCGCACAGCTTATAACGAAATCGACTTTGGTTCGCTCAAACGCGAATTCACCAGTACTAATACTGAATGGACGTTTATCCCCCCTGCAAGCCCACACATGGGAGGGGCCTGGGAACGTATGGTGCATTCAATCAAGCGAGTGCTGTACCAAATCATCACGCCGGAAACTAAACTCAACGATGAGAAGCTTCTAAACTTGATGTTAGAAGTGGAAAGCATTATAAACAAACGACCATTAACCTACCTATCGTTGGAAACAGCTGACCAGGAAGCACTAACACCCAATCATCTGTTACTGGGTTCATCATCTGGTGAGGGGCCTCCAGGTAAATTTGACCAATCGGATCAGTACGTCAAGGGTTGCTGGCGGCACACGCAGTACTTAGCGGACGTCTTTTGGAAGCGGTGGATAGCTGAGGTTCTGCCCGAGTTAACGAAACGTACAAAATGGTACGACAAAACTAAGCCGGTCCAGGTTGGGGACGTCGTAATAGTAGTTGATGGTAACCTACCCAGACACTGTTGGCCCAAGGGTGTGGTCACTCACACCGTGCTATCCAAAGATGGACAAATCCGCAGCGCTACGGTGAGAACAAAAAATGGGGAGTATCACCGACCTGTCGCCAAATTAGCTATCTTGGATGTTAATTGAAATGTAGCAGTGTTGTTTCTTGTTTGGGTATTCGCGAATTCACGAATACCGGGGGGAGTGTTGACAACCCTGCCACTAGCCATGAAATGTATCGGATATCGATT